CACTAAAAAATATTTGCTAGGGAGAAAAATGAAAATATTTGTTATGGTTATTTAAATATTTGTTTAGAAAAATTATTTTAGCTTCCTTGCATGCTAGAAAGCATTAACTTTTTACAAACTTGAATAGTTTAATATGTCTGTCTAAAGGTTATATATCTAAAAAAATCAGTACAAAACCCGTAAAAACTGATTTTTCTTTAAACTTTTACAAGAGTTTAAATTTAAATCCTTTCTGATTTTTTATGCAGGGTCTGTTCATCAAACGCCAACTGTGAAAAAGTTTGCGCACTTTGCAATCAAGAAGACAAAAAAATTTTAGGGTTGGTTACTCACAATTCAATATGATCACCTTATCAAAGTTTTATAGACATTTTACGATGTTCCTTTTTCAAACTCTTAGAGTACCAAAAATTGAAAAAAAAGTCACTTTTTAATTCTCTCATATGATTTTTTGATACAATGCGACTCTATAAGAGCTTATTTTCTCGTAAAAAATGAATTTGTATAAACATTCACAACAAACATACTTAGAAGACGAGATATACAACTAAAACTAAAAAGAAATAAAACAAGAAATGAAAAAAAAAAGAATTTTTAAGGAACAAATCAGGGGGTATGAATGGGTTATGGAACCCACGGTAAGAACAAAGTTCTTTAAACATCAGATGAGTATAAAGACACACAATTTCTCAGGTAACAAGGGGGTCGCGAGACCCATAGGACGAACGAAGCTCTATGAAAATTAGTACTGCATTTGTGTATTTTACAAAAAACAAAAACTTTAAAAATGAATAAAAAAAATAAAAAAATAAAGTTTAGTACTCACAATGGTTGAACTTCATAAGTTTTGTATTTATGCCTGACGTCCTCACGAAGTTCAACCATTGTGAGTACTGAACTCAATTTTTTTTATTTTTTTTTATTCGTTTCTCAAGTTCTTGTTTTAGTGATCCACATAAATGCAGTAGTAATTTTCATAGAGCTTCGTTCTTCCTATGGGTCTCGCGACCCCCTTGTTACCTGAGAAATTGTGTGTCTTTATACTCATCTGATGTTTAAAAAACTTTGTTCTTACCGTGGGTTTTATAACCCATTCATACCCCCTGATTTGTTCCTTTTAATTTTTTTTTTTTTCATTTCTTGTTTTTTTTCATATTTTATTTCATTGTTTTTTCATACATAACTTCATTACTTTTTTTTTATCTAATTTCCTTTATTTGTTTTTGTTTCTTTTTTTTTCATATTTCATTTCGTTGTTTTTTTGTATTTAATTTCATTATTTCTTTTTTTTAATTTTTTTGTATTTTCTTTATT